ATATACTATCTATTCGATACGTATACTTGCGTAGTAGAATTTTAACTGACAATAGTCCCAGAATGATTATGTGCTTAGGGTGATTTAAGCCTTATTATTGTCCTTTATCCTACCTTGACCCTAGCCATGCATTACAAGCTTAATAAAGTCCTAATGATCCTTGAATTAGTATTAGTTTACATTAGTGGAGAGAGAGATAAAAAGCAAACCTATAGAGTTCTAATACTAATTCGAAATTTTGCATTGGCATAAACTCATCTGAATTGCATGATATTCTTTGTAAAAGATTGCACACACACATGAAAATTTATTTGAGAATGAACTTACATTTGAATTGAAACATGGACTCAAATGGTGTCAATATTTTGTCATAAGTTGAGATTATAAGATAACTTTTGAGGAAACTATGGAGATCATTGATTTGGTGCTACTTGTCTTTAATTAGCTTGCTTATTTATGATTACTATCATCATTTAAATTGCTTTCATATTTGTTTAGCTTTCTTTTATGTTTTGCTCAAGGATTAGAAAAATCTTAAGTTTGGAGGTGTGATAATTCTATTTTATTGAGTTACTTGGTCACGATTTTGGGTGTATTTTATCTAAGTTCTTGAAATTTAGTTTATGAATATTTTTAGTCATTTATTTTATTTTAGTTAAGTATATTGGGTTCAATTGCTTTAAGTTATTCTATGATATTTTGCTTTCAGTTTAGTTATTATTTAAGTTAGTTTGTTGCTTTTGTAGGTGTGCTATGAAAGGGTGATAATTTGTGAAGAAGAATGTATTCAAAGTGCAGACTTTCATTACATGTTGTGGTATTTTGATCATATCTTTCACTAAAGAAGTCCAATTGATGTGATTCTTAAATCATTGGAAAGCTAAGAGGTAGAGCTACAACTTTGCATTACCACTTTGCCTAATTCAGCTTCAAAGAAGGAGAAAATCATGTCACTATTCGTAGTAGTGCAGTAGAGCCTGAAATTTCAAGACAAAGTATGGAAGGCCGCGTCCATGGAAAGAAATGAGTGCTGTGGCCACCAAGGAGGCAACATTGTGGTGCACAAAGAGAAAATAGAAAAAAAATAGATCATGAGCATGGTGTCGTGGGGCCCAAAAAGAGAGAAACCCAGGCGCTCGCATGTATGAGAAGATTTCTTGTGTATTTTGACTTCTATTTTGGCACAAACTTGAGCTCTATTTAATCCCCACTTTCAAAAGCACATTTTGAGGAACAATTAAGCAAGGTTTTTGTGAAGAAAAAGAGGCATTCAAGCTAGCAAGGAAAACAAGGAAGATTGCAGATCGAAATCATGACAAATTCTTAGAGTTTTTTCTTTTTTTGTTATCTTTATACTTTATTTGTTTAGTTTTGATGGTTAAATTTCATTTTTGGATGATGTTTTTTGGTAGTTATGTGGAAATAAATTTTTAATCTAGAATTACAACATAGTATGAATTTTTAATATTCTTTCTTGCTTATGATTAATAGTCTTTGAGTTGTTTATTTTAATCTTGTTCTTAATGTATCTAATTGTTTAATCACCAATTAGATTGATTTGAAAACCTAAATGGAATTGGAAGAGGAAGTTTAGAGTAAGTCATAGATGAAATAGCATATGTTCAATATCAATTGCATGAGATGCTTGATTTGATTCATATGTAGGGTAAGAATACACATGCATATATCATATATAGCCACAACAAGAGTCTAAGCTTAATGAGTCTTTCTTAATTAATTTGCATAGGAATATAATAAGTTAGTTAAGGAAGATAGTTTTATAAAAACATCGAAAGAGACTTATAAATACATTAAAATTCTAGGTTAACAACTCAAGCTTATCTAGTGAGTAAAATAGAGTAGAATAGATTCAAATGAAACATTGAAGAGATATTGTGATTCTAGACTTTTGATTTATTGATTTTAATAAATTATTAGTTTGTTGTCGGTTTTAGTTTTAATTTCTTTAATTTTCAGCAGTTTCAAAATCAATTATTTAGATAAGATTAAGTTGTGTTTATTTTAGTACTTAGTAAAAAAGTTTGGACAATTCTCCATAGGAATGAATTTTACTTTTTGTTATATTACTTGTTAACAATATGTGTACTTGTATGATAAATCCAACAACAGAGACAAAAAGACGAGATATATTTTTGAGGTAAAAAATTTTTGTTCCTCACAAGAGTGGCTTGCATATAACGTAAATGATGTAGATATTAAGGTTATTTAGGTTTAATTGGGGAGAATGAAACAAAGGCTGTTTTTGCTCCATAGAAGAAACTTTGACTTACGCCCCTTAATTTACAAAAACAAATAAACGGGTTACTTAAAAGGACTAAAAATATCATATTGAAAGAAGGTAGCCTTCTTCCCTGCCTTGCACGCAATCTGCAAAACCGCATCAGGCTGCACGTACCCTTTAATGGTTACTTTCTGCTCCTGCAAATCTATGTCAACTGATTCCACACCTAAAGATGATTATCAACCAGTAAAAAGTAAAAAGTTTAGAAAATGAATAAGGAATTCCACCTGGTACCCCATTAAAGTAAGAACGACACCTGCTGACTCTTCGCTTTTAACAAGGGAAAAAAGAGTCCAATTACTCTAGAATGACAAAATTGCTTTCACATCAAACCTCTGCCACAGTGCCACTGATAAATCAACTCATGGTCTTTTGAAACAAATTAATAGGAAAGGAAGGGCAATGCTATACCTTCCATGGTCTCTAAAGCTCTCTTCACAACTCCAGCACAGTCTTCACATGACATGCGGACCTCGAGGACAACGGTCTGCGCTCAAACCAAAACATCAAGAGGAGGTTGATATAATTGTTTTCCTCTCTAGGAAAAGCCATCAGTTATGGTGTGTTGCTTGATAATTATGAACCAGATAACATAAATTGCAGAAAGAAAAGAGAGATTGTATCTCTTAAACAAAAAGGGAACATATATAATCAATAGTATGAATTTCAAACCAAGCTAGTTTTCATGGAAAAATGCCATTTGGATGTGGGACCAATTTCAGTATTAATCATTGTATGTTGGAGACAAAACACTCTCCGTTCATGCTCAAAATTCTGTTCAAGCATTTTGGGGAATCACCAAAAGGATTGTAACCCTTCAACAAATATAACAAGCACAACCTGGGTATATAATATCAATGCCGACGTGGACTAGCCTGCTTTTGGGAGTGCACAAGACAAGACGGTCCCTCAAAACCGGAAAAGAATTAAGGGTTTTGGACTTTGTTTTCGGTGCTTTGGGTGAGGAATGAAATTGTGTTTGTCGTTTTTTATGTTCTTTATGGATTCGGTGAGATTTTGCAATGTTAGCATCCTAGTCTTTCTGTTGAAGTGGACAATTTTCTTTGGCACGTGTAATTTTTTAATTTTAATCTTTTTTATTAATTTTAAAATTCAATTTTTAAACGTATAATATTTTTTAAAAAAATTAATTATTTTAAAACAATTAAATAAATTTTTATTTTAAATTAAATAAATTTTTATAATTAATAATTAATTAATTATTATTAATTAAAACGTTACTTATTATTTTATGTTTGCGTAGCACTAATGTAAAAAGTTAAAAATATTATAAGATAATATCATTTTGTTATGTTATCATGTCACATCACAATCCTCTAAAACGTATCGACATGTCACACTAATACTATGTAATATAAAATATTAAAAAAATTTATTAATGATAATTATTAATTATAACTACTTATTTAATCTAAAATAAAAATATAAAAATAAAAAATCATTTTATACCGAAACCTAATTTACACAAACTATTTTCTATTCATATTCTCACCCTTAAAACCACAACCAGTTAAACTGTAATTATAAGATTTTTCTTTGGCAGTTTCTTGGCTTGTGGCATGGATTCTGCGACATTACCTGCTAGTCAAAAAGTTGTGTATATATCCACCAGCCACATGCTTCTCTAGTCATTAGCCACTTTGTATCCGCCTTTCTGTTAAAAGATATTTTTCTTTAATATGCACGTCTATTTCAACCCCAATGAGACCTTTCTTTTTATCAAAGTGAAAAATAAGAAGATATCTGGGTTGAGAGTAGGGACATGTCACAAGAAAATCATCTTCCATTACAGTACTAGCACAGAAAGTTCAATGACAAGCAACCAAGAGCTTATTGCAGGGAAGTATATATCCTACAATCCATATGGTATTGTAGTGAGTTTAACAAGCTATAGCACATGAATAGATTAAGCAAACTGGGAGAAATTAAGCTGTGGCAACAGCTGCCGCAGGCTTTGCCTCGGGTTCTGCTGGAGCTTCTGTTTCCCAGAAGGTAGTCTTCTTTCCAGTCTTTGAAACATTCTGCAGAACTGCATCGGGCTGGACATTGCCCTTCACAGTCACTTTCTGCTCCTTCAAATCTACTTCATATGATTCCACACCTGATAGTGTTTTATGAAAAAATATAGATATTAGCTATCAAACTAAACCAGAAAAAATATCAGCAATGGAATGTGGATGATGGCATGTCTCCTGGTGAAGTGTAAGAAAATTTAGCAAAGAAACACAAGGGAAATATCTAGAATTAAAATTATTTTCACAGCAGACTTCTGCCATCATAAATCAGCATTCACAAAAAGAGGGGTTGGGGGAGGGCGGTAATCTGCTTCTCTAGGAAGTAATTCTAACAGAAACGAGAAGGAGACCAAGGGACAAGCAGTTATAAAACTTAGTTTTAGATGATTTTGAGCAACAAAGGTGATCATGAGAAAACAACGGAGTGAAATAGCAAGGCACACCTTCCATTTTTCCCAGGACTCTCTTCACGGCTCCAACGCAGCCCTCGCATGACATACCAACCTTGAGAACAACAGTCTGCAGCCAAATAAAATGAATAAGCTGTTGATGACATTATTGTAGAAAAACTTGCAAACCTGTGTTCAACCTCCATGACCTACAATAAAACTAGGAGAAAACAAAGGATTGAATGCATTCAAAAAATTTGACATAGATAATCAAAACCAATCATGGAAACTTGGTTGTATCTGAAGACAGTCAGAATTTGTATCTCTTCATTAAAGCGTAAAACCCAGATCACTCTGAAAGATAGAATTATCGAAAGGCATCACTTACACATCAATATAAGGTCAACTCAACCAGAAACAGAATCAAATCCCTAATTCAAGGACAAAAGCTAACAGATAATCTATAATCACCACCATTTCAGAGAATTCTGAACATGGACCAGTTATCAGGCCAAATTATGAACTGCCCTAAAATTTTCAACTATATATAAGTATTTCAAACCCAACAGCTTTAGCTTGTTTTCGGCCTAAAAGTGCAAAGGGATCTAAATATGTCGATGTTTTTATCCAAGATAATGTGTAGAATTTCAATTTTCAACTCCCAAATCGGTCAAATTCTTTTCCTTTTTCTTCTGAAACCAATAAACCAAGCCAACCAAAATTTCACATAAAGATAGAAACTTGCAATCGGATCCTAGCAAAGTCAAAAGGACAACAACAAAAACGATCTCAAAATTTTCAATCGTAAAATCAGATAAAGAACGACCCATATACAGAACATAAGAGTTAAATTCTTCAAACATATATAAATAACAAAACAGAAGATTGTAAAGATTCAGCCAAAAGAAAAGAAAAAGAAACTATAATTGGTGGAGAATTGGAATAGGAATTCGAATAAGAAAAACCAACCTGAGACATGGCTTTAGCGTTTGGGAATTAAAGCAGAGGTAGATGAATGAGAAGATTTGGTGGGCGTCGGGTGTGAAGCAGTCAGGGTCTCAAGGGTCGAATTTATAGAAGAAGACTCACTCGTGGGCGGTGGTGCCCTGGACCATCTTCATCTCCACGTAACGTCCAAACCACGAGTTTTTACATTTTTGTTCTTGTTTCTTTCATTTATTATGTTTGGGTTGTCCTAAGATATATAAAATTATTAAATCTAAACAAAAAATCTCCTGAGAATTTGAAAGTAAAAATCCTAAAAACATAACCCATTTTCTCATAAGATTGGGAAAATAGCTCAAAGCTAGCACCCTTCCAATTATATATCATGTTTCAATAAATTGAAACTGTTAGATGTCACACAATTGACCCCTTTTGAAGATAATTTTAATATATAAATATAAATTATATATATATTTTTGAGTATTAGTATTCTTATGTTTTTTTTTTCATATTTTAATGTTACTATTGTTGATTTTTTATTTTTATTATTAAAAAGTATATGATATCAGTTTTTAAAAAAAATTAAAATTTTACTATTAAATTTAAAAAAATTAAAATTTTTTATATCTGAGAATTTGATTCATTGATTGGTACATTATTTCCTATTTAAAAACTAAGATTCGAATCTCCTCCTTTCCAATTATATAAAAAAAATTTCTTTTTTTATTAATTATAAAAGTGAAATAAAGATAAAGAAACCAGACAAAATGTGTATCTACTTTTATTCTTTTCAAGTAATATACTTTTATTCCACAAATATCAAACGGATCAACCTTTTACTAGTAAATTTTATATATATTATCTATAAACTGGACTCTTTTCCTTTTAATTTATTTCTTATTTATTGATTTTTTTATCAAACAAAACTCAATTTTGATAATTTTCTAATTCATAAGATAATAAATTTTGAAAGTTTTTATTTTTAAAATTTTCAAAATATATTTATTGAAATTTTAATTCTATATGATATTTTAAAAAATAATAATTAATTAAGTTGAGATTATTTGATAAAAAAATAATTGAAAGATAAATATAATAGAAACGGAGACAGTAACCATCTAGAAGAGAATCCGATACCATTGGTGGTCAATATGACCTATTATTTAAATCATAATTAGGATTAATAGATTACATGAGGGTGGCCAGACTTATTCAAATTTCAACAAATTCATTTCAGATTTTCTGTTCTTTAAAATTTTGGAATCTTTTTCTATTTCTTTTTATTTGGTCAAAGGGGTAAGAAGCAATTGGCCATTCAGTCCCCTTAGTTAATCAGTATACCCAAAGCACCCTATTGATTTGGTGGACAATAGGCTTTGCCACTTTGTGTGGATTGGAATTAGTTGCTTGCATGGCTCAAAAAAGAGTTATCTTTTCATGAAGCAAATGATATAAAATAATTCCCATATATAGTACCTTTAATTTATTTTTCTACTTGTGTAAATAACTGGCCAACTAAGATGCTTTGTCTTGTACTAGATTTATGGTTGTCACAATTATCAATTAGTTTTTACTTTTTAACTTTATTTTTTATGTATTTTTTAAAGACATAATATTTACAAAAATCTCTTAACTGTTCAGCAAAATTTAAATAATATTTTATTTTTTTATTATATTTAATCAAACATTTATATTCGAACATTGATTGTTGCATGATTCATTTTTAAAAAATAGGGTTCGAATCCTCTTCTCTCAATTAAAAAAAAATCAAACACTTTTATTTTTATTTTAAATCAAATAAGTAATTATGATTAACGGTTAATTAACGGTCATTAGTTGAAATGTCATTTACCATTCTATACTACGTAATATGCTGATAAGTCATAATGGATAATGACTCGATATGCTAACATGCTAAGACGATATAATCATGTGATATTGTGTACTTTCCACATCAACTCTATATGAGTATAAAATAATAAGTATCATTTTAATTAAAAATAATTTGTTGACCGCTAATTATAAAAATTTATTTAACTTAAAATAAAAATATAAGAACTTGATTATACGTAATAAAAAAATAAAAACTTATTTAAATTATATTTTTAAAATAATTTAAGAACTTTTACAAACATTATTTTTTTTTGAACCTTGAAAATAAACATGAAATTTGGTGACCAATTCTTCAGAGTGTTTAGAATTTAGCTAGTGTATCTAATTATGGACTTATCTCTTATGTAACTAATCAATAATTAAGTGTTTCTCTCCCATCTGCAAAATGAAAGTATAACTTTTGGGTTAGAGGTGGTTGGGAGGCCAAATTTGAGTGTTCGTTAAGTTTCCTTCCAAACCCTTCCATTAACAATACAGAAGTTATCTTTGAAGAAAGAGTACACAGGTCGTACTTTAGTACAGATCGATTTGGTTGCAGTACCGTTTTATATTTTCTTGCTAGGTTTTAATTCCTTTATGGTATTTTTAGGTACAAAAGTCTTCACAAAGTAGTTGTAATTAATTCCAGCAGAATGCATTTACCATCCTAGATTATATTTATCAGATTTGGACCCAATAATTCATAGTCAATATTGAGTTAACAAAAATTTATTAAATATTATAAATAAAATTATAGATTATGTAAACATTCAGAATAATCATATAACAATTAGAAATATTTTTTTATCATTGAAAAATTACCAAAAAAAAAAAGCTTACAAAGATTATTTTAATGTACTATTGTCTAATTTATTATTTTTTTTGAACTTAATTTTTTAAAACATATGTTTTATTGGAAAAGAAAAATTAGTATAGGAAAGTTAAGTTAAGTCCAACTTTCAAAACTTTTGAAAAGTTTATATATAATTAATCTGATTTAATAAAAAACTTGTAAATTAATTATTAGAAATATCTTTGAAAATTGATGCATTAATTAAAGTAATTAATTAGTACTAAATTTTTTTCATTTGATTTAGCATCCGCTAGGAGGAGGACCAATATTTATAGAAAAATTAGTGGCTCAAGGGAAAGACCATTTATTGAAGCTGAAGACCGCTGTCATTTCGAGTGTCTTTATAGTCAAAAGGTTGCTGTCAAATTGGAGGACTTTAATTGCAATTTTAACTTTTTAAAAGAGAAGTGTGTATTCTTTTTGGAAAGACATCCATTGAAGCTGAGGTTGGAGAGATCACTCAAAAATGCGACAGTTACAAAATAGCAAGTTCAGATGGTTTCAACTTCTATTTTTTTAAAAAAAAAAATAGCGAGAGATGTTGAAAGGTGATGTGATGAAGTGAACCCTATAAGTTAATCAATTTTATGTTTATAAAATATTATATTAATTAATCATATTTCATGTTAAATATATTATAAATATTTTATATAATGTGTGAGGTATTTCTTTATTTATGAGTTTATTTATAAAGAGTTATGAGAAACTTATGTAGATAAAATTCTCGAAACATAATGGCCTTGTAAAAAAATTATAAATGTTATAATTATGAGATTTTTATGCATTAAAGCTTTGTTTCTAAATATGTTCCTAGTCATTGTATTATCAACAATAAGGGCATTGACAATGCTCAAAGGCTAGTATATACTAAGCCTCTTTATTTTAGAAGTAAGCAATTGATTTTATAAGTTGAAATATGTGACATACTTGAGATAGTATATAGGTGCTTGTTATGGAATAAGTTCACTGAATATGACTCGCTGTGAGAGTTCTATTTGGTATTTGACTCAAATGTCTATTAAAATACTCTCATGTGTCAGTAGTGTAAGTAATCCTTAGACTTGTGATATCATGTTATCTTGTATGTAAATTGTCATGCTTTGATTCTACCTTTACGGGTCCGAAGATGACTAGATGCTTAAATAGGGTGCTTTTTGGGTATGGCATGAAGCATACGAAGATGAATGAGTAGTCTAAAGAGGATTCATCACCCTAAGTGATTTGAAGGGGACATATCTCATTTGTTTCTAGCTTATATTAATTAAAAGTCCTTCACGAAGGTAATCTTGATAGGTCAATATAAAAACTGCAAGACTAATATGGATAAGTTAAAAAGTAGACACCGAGCCAGGCTTTCTATCTATTTGGGATATATGATGAAAGGATCGAATTACATTGAGATACTGTACTTTGAAAGGTTAGTTAAATCATATTGACTCTCCTAACATTTGGATGGTCATGATGTATTGCTAGATGTCGCTCATGATTTATATATATAAATATAAATTCTTAATTGAATTAATTTATATTTATTGTCAACATAATGGGAACTTAATGGGTCACACACATAAGGTGAATTGTCGAAATTAATTTGAGTTCAATTGGATGTGATCTAATTGATTTTATAGAGGCTTGATCCAATTAAGTATTTGGCTAAAATATGATTTGATGGAGTATTAAATAAAGGCTCAATTAGCCCAAGACATTCTATAATCTTTGTTAGATATAAAGTATGTCAATTCACTCTATAAAAGAATCCCTTAACTGCCTCTTGAATATAGAGAAGAGTTCTATTTTACGTTCTCATATGTTGAGATAGGATCACAGCCAAA